AGAAGTTTTGAAATCAGACTGGCTGTGAATCTCACCTCTGCTAAGTTCCAACCCTGTGGCCTCAAGAAAAATGTCCCCTCCTAACCCATCTCCCAGGCCTCAGATTCCTCAGCTGTGAAATGGACCTGTGGATAAGGCACTAGGCTTCTGGGACACAGTTAGTGTCCGTTCAGAGGCCCCTGGCCCCAATTGCCCACGTGAGGTCCAAGGTGAAGTCTCTAGGCAGGGCCCCAGGGAGCTGCCCCCTCACAGGAGACTTGTTTCTGGCTAAGGTTCAGCCTGAGTGGTGCTGGCTAAGCCCTATGTCTGGGCTGAGCAGCCTCTGCTGCCATCTTGTCTTTGATCATCACCCACTTTACAGATAATGAGTGAGGTTCAGAGGTGGGAGTCCCTACCAATCATGCAGCCACCTTGGGGCAGAACTCAACCTCTGGAATCCAAGCATAGGCATTGCCCCCTACCCACTATACTCTGGGGGGTCTGTGTTAGTGGGATCAGGTGTGGAGATGGCATTTGTACTGGATAGGGGAAACATTGGACCAGGGAGCATGCGACAAGGAAGCTAAAGATCAGGAAAGCGTGTGGCCCACAACTTTCCTGTATTATGACAAATACCATGGGTATTGGTCTATAACCTTGATTATGCTACTTACCCTGTATAAGCCTTGATTTCCCCATTGTAAAGCAGAGATGATAATAGCACCTACCTCCAGGGGTTGTTGGGAGAGTATATTAGTCTGTTGAGGCTGCACAGCAAAGTACCACAGACTGGGTGACTTAAACAGCAGAAATTTATTTCTTCACAGTTCTGGAGGCTCGAAATTCAGGATCAAGACTGACTCAGCAGATTTGGTTTCTTCTGAGACTTCTCTCCATGGCCCATAGTCAGCCACCTTCCCCCTATGTCCTCACATGGTCTTCTCTCTGTGCCTGTCTGTGTCCTGATTCCTCTTAGAAGGATACCAATTAGGGGATAAGGGCCCAATCTAAAGACTTATTTTTATAGTTATCTCTTAAAAGACCTTATCTCTAAATACAGTCACATTCTGAGGTACTGGGAGTTAGGACTTAAACATATGAATGTTGTGAGACACAGTTCAGTCCATAACAGAGGGCTAAATGAATGAGAGTGTTGCATAATAAAAAGTAAATATTTGGTCCCTGGTTTCTGATGCAGAACTCCTAAAAACCTTGAAATTTCCAAAGTGTCTTTCAAGGTAGTTGTGGGCTTGTTGCTGGAAAGAGTGATCCTGATTACAGATCAAGATTTTCTTCTCCCCACCACCACTTCCAGGGAGTGGACAATGGCTGGAGAGTGAGTATAACCACCAGTCACCAATGATTTAATCAACTTTACCTAGTAATGGAACTCCATAAAGACCCTAGACTGTTAGGTTCAGAGAGTTTCCAGGTTGGTGAACACATCCACATATAGGGTGAATGTCCCCAATTCCACAGGGACTGGAGCATTTGGGACCATTCTGAATTTGATACTCTGTGCCTCTTCATCTGTCTGTTCATCCGTATCCTTTATAATAAACCAGTAAATATAAGTGATTTTCTGCATTTGTGAGCCATTCTAGCAAATCATTGAACCTGATGATTATAGAAGCTCCTGATTCATGGTCACTTGTGACCAGTGTCTGAAATGGGGACAGTCTTGTAGGACTGAGCCTTTAAATCTGTGGGGTCTGTGCTAACTCAGACAGTTAGTATCAGCTGAGTTGAGTTGAGCTGAATGGCACCCAATTGATGGAGAATCAGAGAAGTGGGGTGGGAAATTAAGCTACCTTTTTGGTGTCAGGAAGAAACAAAATCTCTTAGGGAGTAAAAAAACCCAGTGAACTTGAGCTTTGATGGTCTCAGAAGCCCTAGGGAGGAGGGTCATAATGGTCCTTAGGATTTAAGTAGACAGAGTTGGCTGAGCTTTGACTTGGCTGATGATTGGGCACTAGTGACTAGAGCTTGGACGACAGGGCAGCCCATCAGCTGAAATGAAAGTCTGCTCTGTGCATTGGCAGAGCAGAAGGGAAGCCTAGCACACACTCAGGCTGTGACCGTGCTGGTGGTGCCTAGGCTTTCATTGCCTCCTGCCCTCAGGACACTGGTTCAGAGTTTCTTCACTTGCCTTTGCTCTTCTTTCTTCCACTTCTGCCCAGGATTCTCTCCCCGCTTGCTGACACAAATCTTTTTAGTGGGAGAGTGATAGGCATCCTGGGTACAGACCTACTGTCCAGCTCTGGGTGCTCGGAGTATGAGGGAATGGCTGCTTCTTTCCCGGTCTACTCCGTGTCACAGGGCCACTGAAACTGTAGGCTGTGGGGTCTCCTGACTTCCTGTTGGTTCAACCAGTGGGAGCCCAGGAGGAAGATCAGAAGGTCAGAGGGAGAGAACCCAGGGTGCTTCCCCTCCCCTCTCTGCCATGGCCACAATGTCCTGCGTTTGTTGGTGGCCCAGTCCCTATACTCCAGTAACAGACTCCTTTTGTTTGTCACTCCAGCCTAGCTAGCTTCCTACTGTTGCTAAACTTTGGGTAATAGTCATGCATTTCTTAATTACAAGGGTACATTCTAAGAAATGTGCTATTAGGCCATTTCATCATTGTGTGAATATCATAGAGTGTGATCACACAAACCTCAGTGATCTTGCCTCCTACACACCTGGGCTGTGTGTGAAGCCTGTGGGGACCACCATCCTATACCCGGCCCATTGTTGACTAAAACCTCATTAATTGACATGTTTGTATCTAAATGTCCTCTGGTTTTTCAACAACCTCCAACATCTGGCTAACAAACTCTGTTGTAAATACCTGAAATGGTTTTTCTTTTCTTAGTCATGTCCTTCATAACTAAAGACAAAGTGTTTTTTCTGAAGTCTTCAAAATAAAAGGAACATGCTCTAGAACTTGCTTTGAAAGGCTCTACAGTGATTAATGGCAGCCAGAGTCCTAAAACACTTAAAGCAATGCCAGTTCTTTATCCTATATCTTAAAATCATGTTGAAAAAGTTGCTTTGTCAGCAGGACTTTCAACTTCTTAAATTTCTTTTTTTTTAAACAGGTATTTTTCCTTTTATTATTGATTTAATTATTTATACGTACAAGAGCTGGGGTACAGGCCAGAGGTGTGGGGGATAAGAGGATTCACCAGAGACAGAGTGGGGGGCAGAAGAGACAGATGGACTGAAATGCACTGCTGAGGGGAGCAATGGGCGAGACAGGTTTGCTTTGCCATGTGGGTAGCTCCCTGACCGGGGATCGAACTCGTGCTGCAGAGGCCACAGATAGCTTCACAGTGCTGTGCTTAACCCCTTGCACCACCAGGAAGGCCAACTTCTTAAATTTGCAATCAGAATTTAGCATGGATTTGTTTCCCACCATAGCAAGCTTTGGTAAAAGATGTTTCTCCCCAGCTTTGCGTACTAAACTGAAATAATCACAGATAACGCTGAGACAAACCAGAAATGGAGTCTTCCCTACTTTGTTCTCCCTTCGGGGGCTGGCGTCATCTCTCTTTCTTTGGAGATGCCTGTTCTTCTATTCAGGGGCTCTCCCAGCTCCCTCCAACCCTCACATAGATCATCTTTCAAGGTGCCCCACCCACAAGTCTGACTGGACCATTTTTCAATCCTGTAGCTGATTGAACCATTTAGCACATATCAGCTCATAGCTTGCTCCTGACTGGTCCATTCCACAATCCAGGAAGTACGCTGTTACATAAAAGGTCTCCGAGGATGTAAGGGCAGGACAGGCCACTGAGCAGGTTTTCTGATCTACCAGACCGGGTAAAGGAGGAGTCCTGGAACCCTCAGAGGCTTTTGCAGGCTTTTATTAGATTTACTAGTACACAGCAGGCAGGGGTGCTGGGAGGCCGGAGGCTGGCAGGCCTCCCAGCCCCTAGTAAGTCTTCACTCTGGGCTCTATGGCCTTCTCTCATGTTCTCTCTACTTCTGCTTCACGGCTCTGCTTCTCTCTTAGCTTCTCTGCTCCTCCTGGCATCCCCGTGATGCTGCCCTAAAAGCCCTGTCTTAGCCCCAGTGAATCCCATCTACATAGGCCCACGCCCTACTCCAGGTGCCCTCCATCAGGCATGCATTCGGGACCACAGGGTTCCGTCATCTATCCTAATGGTGGGAGGGCAGAAAAGCCTGATACTTTTTACCTTACCCTACAGAGGAGCAACTGCCACAACTGACTTGTAGTGGAGCAGCAGGTTGAAAATATCACTGCTCCTGTGGCTCCTACCACTAAGGCAGCTGGGTTCCCGTAACAACTACAGTGATTTGTCACAAACTTGCATGCTTAAAGCAACGTACATTCTCTTAAAGTTTTGGAGGCCAGAAGGCAGAATGAGCCTTAGGAGGGTTAAAAAGCAAGGTACCAGAAGGGCTAATTCCTTCTGGAGACTGTAGGGGAAATTCATTCCTTACCTTTTCCAGTTTCTAGGGCTGGTGGCCTTTGGCTTGTAGCCCCATCACTCCATTCTCAGCTTCTGTAGCCACAAGGCCTTTTCCTCTTCTGTGTCTCTGTAATGGCAGGAATGGACATGGTGCAGGTTTTCTGATCCCATGCAGACCGAGTAAAGGAGGAGTCAGAGTCCTCAGTGGTTTTTTGCAGGTCTTTTATTGGGGTTCACCAGGCATATGGCAGGCAGGGGTGCTGGGCCTCCAAGCCCCCAGCAGGTCTTCACTCTATGGGCTCTCCGGCCTTCTCTCAGCTTCTCTTTTGGCTTCTTCTCGGCTTCTATTCGTTCTTGGCTTCTGCTGCTGCTGCTGGCGTCCCTGTGACGCCACCCTTAAAAGCCCAGTCTCGGCCCAGGTGAATCCCATCTACCTATGCCCACACCCTACTCCACGTGCCCGCCATCAGGCATGCATTCAGGACCGCAAGGATCCATCATCTATCCTGAATGTGGGAGGGCAGAAAAGCCTGACATTTTTCCTTACCCTGCAATCTCTCTTCTCCCTCTTATAAGGATGTTTGTGATTATATAGGGCTTACTTAGAGAACCCAAGATCACCTCCCATCTCAAGATCTGTAATTTAATTACATCGAAGCAATCCCTTTTTACTATATAAGGTGTCATTCACAGGTTCTGGAGATGAGGACATGAATATCCTGGATCTATCCTGGGGCTACTATTCAGCCAACCATAGTATCTTTTGCAACTCCGTCTTGGTAGCTGTAATCTTTTTCTGTGCAAGTAGATTTCTGCCCCCAGGAGAGATTCTTCAAAGCCAACTCTGACCAAGACATACCCCGCATATAACTCTAGGGTGGTTCCTGGGATTTAAAGACCCAAGTCCAGCTCCCATTCTGCAGTCGGTGGCACTGGCCTCTGGGTTCCCTTCTCACAGCTCTTCCACTGCCATCCAGCACCCTCAGCTCACCCCCTTGTCATTCCCTTAAGTAATGTTTCACTCACCTGCTGTGTCTGTGCTCATTCTGGACCTGCTGTCCAGGTCCAGGTCACTTTCTCTGATGGCCCAGTCTCCTGCAGCTTGCTGCTCATGTCTCCAGCATTAACAGATATATGAGTTGTTGCTGCCTGACTCCCTGGGTAGGAACCTACTCACTCCTCTCTGTACTCACCTGCCTGGCTGACACAACCCCGATGTGCATGAATGTGAGTAAAGATTAACAGCCTGTATCTCAGGGCCAGGTATAGAGCAGGTTCTTGGAAAATGTGAATAGTGTTCTCTTTTTACTATAATGCCCTGTTTCCTGAGTTGCCATTTAAAGGAACTATGTAGTACTGTTGGTTTCCTTTCTCAACTTTCTGCCTGAAAATTGGGAATAAATCCCAGTATTCTCTGCACACCCACGCATGGGTACACAAAAACACATAGACCTTTCCCTTGGGCAGACAAGCCAGGGGTCTGACAGCGCATAGGAGTAGATAAAGTCACCTTCCATAAAAACAAGACTACCTTTCCTTCCCTTTATTTCCTGGTCCCATTTTGTCCTTCCCAAGGGACTATGAGCCTCAGGGATGGAATTGTGCAACCAGTGCTGCTCCCATTCTTGGGAGATCGGAACTCTGGAATTCTTAGCAAGAAGTGGCAGAATTCCAGTGGGCAGAGGCCCTGGAACTTGAGGCGCTGGTGAGGTCACATGTGTGTCTTTGTCATCCACTTGCATAGACAAAATTCCTCACTGGGTGTGATCCCCCACCCCCACCCCAGTGGGAGGAAAATTAAGACACCAGCTCTCAGGAGAGAGGAGATGAATGTACAGTCGAGATAATGCAGTATACTTTGGATTAAGACCCAACATTCAGGCTGAAGCTCTGTAAGTGACAGTATTGCCCATCAGTCTTACAATTCAGCATCATGGCAAATAATTGCTTGCATGTCTTTTGCCTGAACTAAGGAGAGGGAGCACCTGGCTGACCTCCCTGGCCGACCATCACACACAGGGCCTGCTAGGGACAACTGACTCAAAAGCCTGTTGGACAAAGAGAATAGAAGGGCAGCCCACAGAGGAAAGGGCACAGTCTCAACCTGAGCTCTAGTTGTGCCTGGGATGGAAAAGAGGGTGGTGGGGTTAGATCCAGGGGAGACACAGACATTTGGACACACTGCCTATGGCCACAGGGAGCCATGGGAAGTGCAGCAGGGAAGGAAGAACACAATCAGAGCCATGTGTTCAGAAGACCCTTCTGGCACCAGTGTGGAAATGAGCGTGGGGAGGCTTTGCAGAGCCCATGCAGCCCCACCAGGAGGAGGGGTTAGACTATAACTGTGGGGCACCCCTTGCATGCTTGCCCCATGGTCCTGTATTACCATGAAGTTCAGGTCCAGGGAATGGAGCCATTTTCTTCAGAAGAAAGTAGAGGAGAGGTGCTAGACTTTAGGGCGTCACAGGGGAGAGCTGTGTTTGGTGGCAGAAGTAATGGGCTTGGGGCAGGCAGGCCTGATGAGCCCCAGCTCTGCCCTTGGGTTCCTGGGGTGAGTCATTGCACCTTCTGAGGTCCACAGCCCCTACCTGTGGAATGGGGATGATTCCCACCTCCCAAGCCTGAGAGAGGAAGCTCAGCACAGGGCTCATGTTCCTCCACATTGACTGCCCCTTCTCCCCTTCTTCCCTCTGGCACCCAGCCTAGAGAACAAGCTTATGGGCCTCTGCCAAACAGACAAGAAGGATGCTGGGCCTGTAAAATACTGGAGCAAGGTGGGGTCTCAGGTGCTCACTTGGCATCCCCACCTCTACGCTGACACTGGGAACCCCTGGGTGTGGGAAGAGGGGTTTCTGGGTGGTCGCACAGAAGTAGCAGCAGCCACTCTACCTCCACTGGAACATCTGAGGCCTGGAGCTGAAGGGCTGGTACCTCTTTTTCCACAGTCCCCATCTGGGCAACGGAAAGATTAAGGTTTGGATGCTGGACACACTTTAAGAACAAAATGTGGTGCTGAAATAAATTTTGCCATGGTCTAAGAGAGTGACAGTGTCCTGGAGGAGCAGGAGACATCCTGTCCCCAGCCCATTCCCAACTCACAATCTGGACACTGACATAATGAGGTCAGGAGAACTGGCTGCTGTCCTGTTCAGGGCTGAAAAGGCCTGCATGCTGGACAGATGCTGCCAGTCAGCAGGCAGGGTGGTGGTGCCCTGCGGCAGCTCCTAAATACAGAGCCAGGCCACCTGGGCAGCATGTCCAGAACATTCACTCAGTCCTCTTCACAAAGAGTTCTGAGGATTAGAATGAGACAGAGGCCCCAGAGGCTGGCCCTGGTTCACTGCCAGAGTGGCTGGACATCGGCAGCCCCACACTGAGCTTGGCCTGCACGAGTTCAGCCTCTGGAAGGGTGAAGCCACTTGTCCCTCCTGAGAAACAGTTTGTATTCTCCGGTTTCTGTTCAAAAACTATTGAAGTTTGTGTTCAACTTTGTAGTTCTGGAAAAGTAACAAGAAACATGTAAGCTTATAGGGCTCATCCTTGGCCCCACAGTGTCTGACTGGTTGGTACTTTTAAAAAGAAAAGCATCTTGAATATTTTTTGTATGCAAGATGACTTCTCCTTATTTCCTTCTTCTGTTTAAGAAGCAGAAGAGTTTACTCAGGGGCCCCTCAGCAACTGGCAGGAGTAGCCAGCCTCAGAAGCTGCCCGGGCACCTTCCTGGTTGGAGGGGTACAGATGCCTCCCTCCCAGGAAATGTCTCAAGGTGCCAGCAGAAGGTTTGCTCGCCCCAGGCAGCACTGTAGTGTCCATCTGGGACTTACTCCTTTACCCTGCTGGCTAAGATCTGGGACAATGCAATAGAACCAGGCTTATGATGCCCCTTCATGGCTGGAAAGACTGGAAAGAATGGAGAGAAGGGCTTAGACACAAAACCAAAGGGGCATCCTGAAACTTGAGTTAAGGCTGTGGGGTCTTGGAGGGTGACACACAGCACCTGCCCTGCCCACGTCTCCTAGAGGACCCTCATGCCCACCCGATGGAGAGACATAGGCAATGCTGGTCAAATCCTGCGCCTGCCACTGGCCATAGCCATCATTCCTGTTGCTGCCTGGAGGGGCTGGACTGGGGGTGGGGAGGTGCCCCTGGGTGGAGGTAGAAAACAGTTGACAGTAAACTTGTGGTCAGGGCCAAGGTAGAGAAACAGGCAGGGGCAGAGTAGGGTCTCCCTGTAATTCTTAGGATACTTGGAGGGTTTTAACATGAGATCTAATTGACATAAAATAGTATGTTCACTTCAGTTTGACAGTGTAAATGATTCCATATTTTAATATATTGTGATCACCACAATAAGGCATAGTTAATATCCATTACCTCACATCATAACAGTTTTTTTTCTTGTGAGAATTTTTTTTTAATTCTTAAAAAATTTATTTTTTTTTATTTATACAAGAGCTGGGAGGGCAAGAGGACTCACCATAGACAGAGTGGGGAACAGAACAGGCAGATTGATTGAAATACACTGGTGAGGGGAGCCGTGGGCGAGACAGGAGAGGTCTGCCACGCCATGTGGGTATCTCCCTGGCCAGCCGGGAATCAAATCCATACTGCAGAGGTTGCAGACATCTTCACAGTGCTGCGTTCAACCCACCACACCACTGGGGAGGCCCTCTTGTGAGAATTTTTAAGATCTTCTCTCAGTAGTGGGGCCCCGAAGGGTGACACCCAGACACGATGACTGTAGTCATCAGGCTGCACATACACTCCACAGAACTTACTCATTTTATATCTGAAAGTTTATATCTTTTGAATCCCTTCACCATTTCCCCCACTTCCCACCTCTGGAAACCACAAATCTATTCTCTGTTTTTGAGTTTACTGAGGGGAGGGGATGTTAATTACCTTTGTTTTGTTTTGTTTTCTAGATTCCACATAAGTGAGACTATGCGGTACTTGTCTTTCTCAGTCTGGCTTATTTGAATTAGTGCAATGGCCCATCTGTGCTGTCACAAATGGTGGGATTTCCTTTTTTTGTATATAAGTTATATTCCACTCTGTGTATACTCTGTGTGTGCACAAATATATATGGCATATTTTGTTTACTCTTTTATTGATGGACACTTGGGTTGCTTTCATATTTTGGTTGTTGTAAATAAATGCTGCAGTGAACATGGGGGGGTGCATTTATCTTTTTGAGTTAAGTGTTTTTTATTTTCTTTGGGCAAATACCCAAAGCAGAAGTTGAACTGCTGGACTATATGGTAGTCTTATTGTTCATATTTGAGGAATCTCCATACTGTTTTCCACAGCAACTGCACCAATTTACACTCCTGTCAACAGTGAATAAAAGTTTCCTTTTCTCCACATCCTCACCAACACGTTATTTCTTGCTTTTTGATAGAAGCCATTCTCACAGGTATGAGGCAATATCTTATTGTGGGTTTGATTTGCATTTCCCTGAAAATTAATGATGTTCAACACCTCTTCATATATCTGCTATACATCATGTCTTCTTTGGAAAAATATCTGATTAGATCCTCTGCCCATTTTTAGTCAGATTTTTTTTAATAGTATCAATTCTTTATATATTTTGGACGTTAACTCCTTATCAGATATGTAATTTGGAAATATTTTCTCCTGTAGGATACATGTTGACTAAGTAGTTGAAGTTGATGCCAGAATAGGAACTTGGCAGAATCAAGAAACAGACATTTCTATTATAGCACCTTTTACATATGGCAGATCACTTATATAGACTAGAAGTAGAAAAAGCAGAAAGCTTCTGTTTGAGTAACCTGAATTTCAGTCTCAGCTCTGCTAATTTTATGTCTGTTAAACCTCAGGCAATTTACTTATTCTCTCTGAACTTTAGTTTTCAAATCTATAAAATGGGGGGAATAGTCACCTTGCGTGCTTGGTCTCCGGGTGAAAAGAAAAAGATGAAGATCTTTGCACCCATGAACAGATATGTCATGTTTGGAATTTAGGAAATGATAGCCATTAGCATCATTAGTACCTGGAAGGAAGACAGCTCCAGGATATCTGGAGACCTGCTTGGCTCAGCCTTTGCCTGAAACACATACATTATGTGGCCCACTCATAATTAATTATCTTTAATCAGGTAAAATTCGATTAAAATATGAGTTTCTGACTTTAATCTAAAAATCAAGAGCTCCGGAATTTCTAGATCCACATCTGCAAGTGGCAGTGACTGGAGCAGGGCTTCTCTTCCCCTTTATCAGGACTCTCTTTCCTCTCTTGTCACAGTCTCCACCACTCCCTGTTGCATAATGCCAGTCAGCCTTGCTCACTTAAGGAATTTGTTGCGATTGATTGACAGGTTTTGCAATAACTCACTCTCCCCCCTTACTGAGTCCATTCCTCCTAAATTCTAGGTCAAAGGCCCTTACCATGGACTCCTTGTGACTGGTTCTGATGGAGGCACTACCTATCTCTCCAGTCCTGGGGTCATGAGGAAAGGGCCCTTGATTGAACTCATAAGGTCTGAATTCAGTTCTGGCATCATCTGCTGTCTCACTTGATGAAAGTCATTAACCCCAGCCCTTAGTCTCTTCACCTAAAAAATGGACTTGCTGATATGGCTCTGGGAGGCAGGTAGAGCAAACAAATGATTTCCAAAAAATGCAGGTGCTGTTTCCTCTGCCAAGTGACCTCTTGTCACTGGTACAACAGGACTCACTTTGCGACTTTGGCTCTGATTCCAGGGCAAACTCCAGAGGAAACATGGTAGAAGTGAGCATGCAAGAAGAGTCTGGGACAGGCTTATCTGCGTGGTTACTGATATAACGCTGTAAGACCTATGAGTTGTCCTACCCAGTGTGCAGGCAAGAGTGACAATGTAAATGGTGAGTGCAGTTTGTGGGGTCTGCCCCACTGTCCCTCATGGAAAGCTCTGTTTAAGGAGTCAAAAGTTACCTTGCCCACTATGTGGATTATTAGTGCAGATCCTCCAGATTTTGTAATAAGCAAAGTTTTCTCCCTGGAGTTCCAAGGCAGGACCAGAGGCCAGAGTGGGTCTCCTGTTTGGTGCCATGCACATGAGGTAGTGACAGATCCAGGGTACCTGGTGCTGCCGCTTCATGACATGGATGATCCTGGCAGGCAGGCAGGCTGCAGGTCATCACCATCCCTTGCAGAAGTGACCTAGCACTGGGATGAGACAGCTCAGGTGGACCCAGAGAACTTGGCTGAGGAGCTATGGAAAGAAAGAGGATGTGTCCAGGGGGTCTCAAGTCCTAGGGACCAGGCTGGCTAGTAGCTGTGTCCTCAACTGTCCATCCCACCAAAGCCCAGAGGTGGCTTACACTGTGGATGCAGCCCCTCATGACCACTGTGGGTATTGCCAAATCATGGCTTAGGACTCAGGAAAGAAAATAGTTCCTCCTTAAACTGTCAATCTATAATTATGTTCTATTTTTAATAGTACTGCTTAGCAGTACCTCATCCCCAGCCCCACACATGCATGATATCCCCCATGGTCAACATGCTGCACAATAAGGATACATTTGTTACAATTTGAACATACACTGACTCATCATTTTGTTGCCCAGAGTCCATAGTACACCTAAGAGTTCACATTAGGCTGTTGAACATTCTGTGGTTTGGACACATGTATAATGACGTGTCCACATTGTGGTATCCTATCCTACAACTCACTCAGCATTGTCATCCCCCCCACATCCCTGACCTTTTTACTGTCTCCATTGTTTTGCCTTTTCCAGAAGGTTCCATAATTGGAATTGTATAGTTTGTAGCCTTTTCAGACAAGCTTCTTTTACTTAGTGAGATTTATTTAAGGTTGCTTCATGTCTTTTCATGACTTGAAACTCATCTCATTTTAGCACTGAGTAATAGCATTGTCTGGATGGATAATGGCTTGTTTGTCCATTCATCTCCTGAAGAGCATCTTGACTGCTTCCAGGTTTGGGAGCTGCTGTAAACATCTGTGTGCAAGGTTTTGTTGTGTACCTAAGTTTTTAACTAATTTGGGTAAATACCAAGGAGGCTGCTAGATCATGTAGTAAGACTGTGTATCATTTTTTGGAAAACTGTTAAAACTGTCCTCCAAAGTGGCTATACTAGTTTGCATTCCCACCGGAAATGAATGAGCTTTCCTGTGGCTCCATATCCTTGCGAGCACTTGCTGTTGTCTGTTGTCAGGATTTGGGTCATTCTAATAGGCATGCAGTGGCATTTCATTGTTTTAATTTGCATTTCCGTGATGACACATGATATGAAAACTCTTCGTATGCTTATTTGCCATCTTTGTTTTTTTAGTGGGTGTCTATTAAGGTCTTTGGCCTGTTTTTAAATTGCATTATTTTCTTAATTTTGAGTTTTAAGACTTCTTTGTATATTTTGGATAAACTCCTTTATGAGATGCAACTTTTGCAGACATTTTCTGCCTGTCTGTGGCTTGTTGTATAGCCCATTTTTAAGTGATTGATTTAGATCCTGCCTAGTTGGGAAGATGGTAGAGTTGCATGATGCAAGGGGTGATATGTAATTTGAGCTACCTTTGACAGTCCATAAGGAGAGGCCTCTGAGCAGGAACAGAATCTGTGCTCGTTTCAGCACTGAGCATGATGGCAGATGCAATGAGGGCCTGTGTCCATGCAATCCCCATCCAGGGTGTAGGGTAGGGTGGGAGGCTCAGGGGTGCATGAAAACACCAGCACTTAGTTATGCCTCATGGCATAGCCATTAGATATGGTATTTAAGAAGATGAGGAGGCAACAAAGTTGAGGAGGCAATTGGCAAGTCACTGGATGATGAAGTCAGGGAGCCAGGACATAGGAAGTCACACTCTCAGATGAAAACCAGAGAAGTATACGTGCATGAGATCATAGACAAGAGAGGAATTCACTTAACACCTTGAGTTCTGTTGAATTGATGGACTTCGGTGTGGATTTTTCTCCTTTCCATTTTTCAGAGCATGGATAATGTTCATATTGATCTATGTTCATAAAGATAATTATTTAAAAAAAAAACAACCAATTGATTTATAAAGCTCTGCTGCCAATCCTAACCATGCTAAACTCTGAGTTCTATAGTGGCTTTGATGCAAGGGCCCAGAATGTGAGCCCCCTCAATTTTACCCCCAAAGCCATGGAAAGAACGGCAGAGGTTCGACCCTGAGCAGAACTCCAGACCCCATGTAGGACCTTCCTTAGGATGTGTTCCCAAGAGCAGAAAGCACCTGGGATGCTGAATCCCTGCCCTCCATCACCAATCCCACTGTTGTCAGACACAATCTGGCATGCTTTCCCAGGTGGCTGACATCAAAGCATCTTTCAAAATAAAAGACAAGACTAGACAACAGATGGGACTATAATCAGAGGCAGGTGCCAGCCCAAACTCTACATTAATTGAGCATCCACTGCATGTCAGCCATGCTATGGAAGCACATAACTGTCACCCCACTTGATTTTCGCCCATCTCAAAAGAGCCCTGTGGTGTCAATATCAACATCACAAAAGCAGATGGGGAAACTGAGGCAAGCCATGAGACTGGAAAACAGCAACCCTTTTACACAGTGCTTTAGACTTTAAGAGTTGCTTTGCATTTTTTCTCCTCTGATTTTCTCAGTAGTGCTGCCAGGTATCCAAGAGAATCTCTGTTCTGCAGAGGAGGAAATTCACAGCAGAAAGAATAACCTGCCCCACAGTATATAAGTCATAAATGGAAGAAGAATCAAACCTTCCAACTGGATTTCAGTTCAGCCCTTTCTTTTTTTTTAATTTTTTTAATTTTGTGTATTTTTACGTCATTTTTCATTTTTGCACAATGTATGCATTTTCTTTCTTTTTTGCTGTACAATAATTTTTATTTTTATTTATTATTATTATTATTTTAATTTTTTATTTTTTATATCTTTTTTCATTTTTGCACAATATATGCATTTTCATCTTGGTTATATCCCCATACAATTCCCACCCACCTTGTTTTGATCCTATTCCCTTCTCCCTCCCCCCATAGTGTGTCTCTGGTTTATAGTTGCTTGTTGGTTTTGATTTTTACTTTAATATAGTTAGTCTTTTTCTTGGTCCCTTATTTAGGTTTTCTAAATTCCTGCTATGAGTGAGACCATCCGGTATTTTTCTTTTTCTTTCTGTCTTATAAGCAGCACTATTTACAATAGGTAAGCTATGGAAACAGCCCAAATGCCCAAAAATAGATGACTGGATCAAGAAGATGTGGTACATATACACAATGGTATATTACTCAGCAATTAAAAAAGATAAATTCATGCAATTTGCAGCAACATGGATAGAGCTGGAAGGGATCATGTTCAGTTCTGCCCTTTTTTTTTTTTAAGATTTATTTTATTTATACAAGAAACCAGGGTACAGGTGAAATGCGTGGGAGGGTGAGAGGATTCACCAGAGACAGAGCAGGGAACAGAACAGGCAGACGGACTGAAATACACTGCTGAGGGGAGCAGCGGGCAACACAGGAGAGGTCTACCGCGCCATGTGGATTGCTCCGTGGCCAGCGGGGATTGAACCGGCACTGCAGACACTGTGGACAGCTTCACAGCACTGCTCTCAACCGCCTGCGCCACCAGGGAGGCCCCAGTTCTGCCCTTTCTACCCTGACTCTGCCTTCTGAAAAGGAGGTCAGAGATAGGACCTTCTGTAGTTTTTTAGACCAAGATCATTTACTGAACCCCCACTGTGTGCCATTTTTACACTGGTGAGCTCACTTAATTCTTGAGATGGCCTGGGAGAGTTGTGGGAAGAGATGATGACCTGCCTGTTATGGATGTGGTGTCTGAAAGCAGAGGATAAATAACCAGCCATCATGGCCCAGAGAGCAGTATTAGGAGGCCAGAGCCAGAAATTGTGACTGTTGGGTTTAATTGAGGAATTGTTATTTTAAAGAAAGTGGAGGACACTTAGTCCCAACCTACACAAGATTACTGAGTGACTACAGCTGCCCAGACAGTTCAGTTCTGAGAGCTGTCGGAATATAGTGGCCTGGCCCTAGCGCTACCCTTCCTCTGTTCAGCTCCAGAGAAAAGTATTAAATGTTCTGTCTCCAATAGAACGTCAAACATGCACATTTTACTGCCTCTCCCCCAGCAGCAACAAAGCAGAGGACATGACCAGAATCCAGATCAAATGGTTTCCCCTGAAGTCTCACTCCATCCTGTAGAGTGAGCACTTACCCTTGATTCCTGGGCGGGGCAGACCCACAGGACATTCCCAGCCTAAGGCAGTGAAGCTGCTTTAACAAATGTTTTTATAGCCTTTGTCCCGGAAAGGATTATAGAATTGTGTTGGCACCTGACACCGGAAGTCACTGTGAGTGATGAATGACTGCATGAATGAATATAAACTTGCCTGCAAGGGAGGCTGCCTGATTTAGTCCCTACCTGCAGCCTCAAGTAGGGAGTGAACTGGCACTTCCTCTGACCCCTCTGTTGCCATCCCCGAAAGAGCCCCAGTCAAGGAGGAAGAAGGCCCTGGGTTCTGATACTTTATTGTTGCGTAACATTAAGAAAGTCATTTCACTTGGCCAACAGTCAGTTTCCTCATCTGTAAAATGGGCTTTTTTATTCCTCTGCAGGAGGGGTTATCTACTAGATGGAGGATAGGGGGCACACCTGTCTACCTCCCCCCACCTCTGCCACTCACAGACACCTCTGCCTGGAATGGGTGAACCTCCTGACATTAACGTGGCGCATGATTGCAAAGCACAGTGCCAGGTTCCCGCCGTGAGGCCTGCTTCACTGAGCCTCAGTTTCCTTCTGGCACAGGATGCAAAATCTCTCTCCAGGACTGCCATGCAGTGAAGAGAGGGCATATGCCAGAGCTTGTGTATGTTTGGGGTTGCATTTATATAGAATCGTGATTTAATCCTCAGTACTGCAAGTGCAGTTCTGCACATGGTATAATCAATGCAGTTCTGATGACATGTTCAAGTAAGTGCTTTTCTTGGCATTTATTCCAACTATATTGCTGAAGGACAAAGGAAAATTTGGGGTCTTCATTGGCAGTCCCCTGGCCTAACATGCAAATACAGAATGCCCATACTCTCAGCATCTCTGTAACCATTTGGGGGACGATGGATGATTGAGCGTGACAGAGGGGTGGTCAGAGGGTGGGGGCTGAGAGGTCCTAGTCCAGCCATCTCCTAGTGAGCCACATTTGGGCACAGCCTGCAACCTGCCTTTGTCTGAGCCACCCACCTAGCTGCTA